CAGTTTTTCCAGCTGTCCGTGCCATATCGGGCCGGGCAGCGGGGGCCACAATCTGCTAAGCCAGGCCAGGGCCCCGGCCCATTATCACCACCCCCACCCCTGCCCCAAGGACATGGAGAAACAAACTCGCCAGCCACCCAGCTTAGAAACCGTCCCAGAAGACACGTGTCCCTGGTACTGTCACATGGTGGCCCCCCCTCCAGGCCTGGTAGGGCAGGAACGTGAGGCTTCTCAGTAGCACAGTGTCACTTACTGGCAGAGAGGCCACCCCCTCTGAGGTCCCGGCTGAATGGAAATTCTTCTGCTTTAGCCTCAAACCCAGGCCGTTGGTCCACAATGCAGGGATGAAAGTGGCTGAGACCCAGGGCACTCAGAGCAGCATCAGCTCTGACACTGGGCCCAGGGAGATCACAGCCTCTCTTGCTTGTGCCCCCACCCTTCCCTCAGTGGGGCTGAGGGGCATCTGAGGCCAGGCATGCCTCCCGAGGCTGTCCAAAGCAGCAGGAAGAGGGGGCGGATCTGGAAGTTGGCCTACAGGGAGAGTCAGGAGCCGAGCAGAAGAGACCAAGGGTGAGGCTTGGGAGAGCCGGAACTGGGGATCGGAGCCAGGATGCAGGAACCACATGGAGACAGGTGGGAAAGGGAGTGGATCAGGAGTGAGCAGAGGCGGGGTAAGTTCCCAGAAGAGCCTTGGGTGTCCAGCTCTCACTGTACGCAAGGCCAGTTAAAGGAACAAACCAAGCACCCCTGCACCACACGACTCGTGCCTCTGAGCATCCCTTCACGACAGCGATCATAAAAGGATCAAAGGCACAAGAGCTAGTGAACTCAGAGTGAGGCGTTTATACAAGCCTGGCACACAGTTGGTGCATAATAGATGTTAGTCTCCTTCACCCTCCCTTCAAGAGTAGCAGTTGCACCTTATCTGTCACGTGTTTCCCGCAGGAAGTGCCTCCTACCTATCAGGTCACCTCCGACGTGCTGCTTTTCCTCCTTCCTCAGGTTTCACTGGTGCCTGCCCTTTGAACTGCTAGAGCTCCTCCCCATCCCTGTGCCCCCATTTGCCACCACCAGGATAGTGGTGGACCCTTGGGTCCAAGTCCTGCATGTGGTGGATGTGTAAGCCCGGGCCCTCTTACCTGCAAAACGGGCCTCCTAAGAGCCCCCACCTCCTGGATGGCAGCGCAGCACACAGCATGGCACCAGGCACCTGACATTCGGGTGTCACCACTGTTATTACTACAACAACACCGGTTCAGACCACGGAGAGAGGAGTGAGGCGATTTGACCTTTACAAAATACTTTCTGAACCCAGGGTAGGAGCCAGAGTGACTCAGGCAGGGAGACTGTAATCCCGTGTCCGTGCAGCTGATAAACAAGGCGAATTCCACCCTCTGCATGGATTCGTTTATTGAGCAATATGTGCAAAACAGAAACAAAGCCGGATGGCTTCTGTGCTTGACTGTCTTCCCTGGAGCAACTACACAGGACATTTCCCCCAGGTCAAAACTTGCCTTCATTCCAGTGTTTTGAGCAGAAGTTCTTTGCTGGGTACACAGCAGAATCACCCAAAGAGCAGAGCCCTGGACCCACCCGAGGCCAACAAAATCAGATCTTCCTTAATGGGCCTATGAAACTCCGTTTCTCACAGGCTCCCCAGATGCTTCTGATACATATATCCTTGGTTGGGAATGACAGCCTCAAAGAAGCTGCTGAAGGTGTGGAACCCCTCACAGGAAGATGCACACGTGCACAAAGCTGAGACACGCCCCTCACCAGGTTGGTGAGGGCCAGGCCGTGCCTCTCCGACTTCACTGTTGTGGATTGGTCTGTCGGAGCCGCATTCTCGAGATGCCAGATGCAGGTTGGCTTTGAGACCTTAGACAACCCCCTCCTCTGGATAGATCCAGTTTATTCATTTTTTTCCGGTTCTGTAGAATTTGTTGAATGAATAGACCACAGTTCATTGGTCCATTTCCCTACTGAGGGGTATGTAGGTTGCTTCCACATTGAACATCCTTGTAAAAGTGTCTCCTTGTGCATGAATGCAAGTGTGTCCTGAGGGCAGACATTCAGAATTGGAATCCTGGGGTCATGGTGATGCCATGAAGGCATGGTCTTCACCTTTACTCAGCATTGCTAATTGCTTTCCAAATATTTTACACTCACATGAGCCCCAACCTGGCATTCCTGTGCCTCCGCATCCTAGCCAATGCTCGATATTGTCAGATTAATTATTGTTTTACAATCTAATGAGGTGAACATGCATCTCATTTGTACTATAATTTGCATTCCCATTATTACCAGTGAGGTTAAGCATCTTTCCTTATAGATGTTGGTCATCAGAGTCATTTCCTTTTTTGTGAATTTCCTGTTTGTTTCCTTTTCCCATTTTCTCATTGTGGCTTGTCTCTTACTGATTTTTGAAGTTCTCACTATATCTAAGCAGGAATTTTTTGTTGGTGTTGTGGGTAACAGATAACTGGACAACAACTTGTCTTTTAAGGATGCTTTGCTGTCTTTTGTTTATTTGTTTTGGTGAAGAAATGTTTAATTTTAAATGTAATTAAATTTGTTCATTTTTTTCCCTTTTGGGTTATTTTTTAAACTCTTTTTTTTTGGGGGGGAGTGAAAATTAGGTTTATTTATTATTTTTTTATGGAGGTACTAGGGATTGAACCCAGGACCTTATGCATGCTAAGCACGTATTCTACCACTATACCGTACCCTCTTCCTTTAGGATTTATGCCTTTTGTTTCTTTCCTTTCCCCAAGGTCATAAGGATTGTCTCTTTGTTTTCCCCCAATAGTTTTGCATTTTTGCTTTTCATATTTGTGGCATTAATAATTTGTATAATATGAGGTAGGAGGACTCTAATATCATCTTTTTCCATGTGGAACCCAATGGTTCTAGCTCCGTGTACTGAAAAGACCCTCCCTCCCCACTTGCATGACCACCACCATCATGAAGCAAGTCCAGGCTCTCTCTTCTGTTTCACTGGACAGTTTCTCTACCCATGCCCGAACACCAGACTGTCTGAATTACTGTCGTTTTGTGTTTTATTCTAATATCTAGTAGGTCAAGTCCTGTACTATTCTTCGTAAGAATTGTCTTGGTTACTTTGTGCCTGTATTCTTCCATCAGGGTTTTAAGATCAGCTGAAATGCCCAGGTATGGCAGGGTTTGAACACCATGCCACTGACAGTTGCAAGCAAGGCAGTGACGTGGCCAGTTCTTTGTTTATCAAACACGTATGAATCTGTATAGTGGTTGGATTTGAGATAATTGGACTGGTGGGGACCCAAACCAGTCAGTGACAAGAGCGATGGGCAGGGAGAGTGTGTACAAAATCTAGGGGCCTTGGCGATTGTGTATGGCAAGTGAGAAAAGGCAGGTCACAGTCTGGGAGTAGCCAAGATGACCTCACCTTCCCGGCCAGGTGACTGAGTGGCCAGCAGTGCCTCCAGCCAAGGCTGGAAATACAAGAGGAGGTTCCAGGTTCAACCATGACTGAACAGTGACCTTAGGAAAGTTCAGATGGAGGTATCATGGCAACAGATGGATATGTAGGTCTCAGGCTCAGAAAAAGAGGGTGGCAGTAAAGACTTGAAAGTCATAAGTCATCAGCCTATCTGTCTATTGAGTTAAAATCAAATCAAAACCAGGAGCCAAAGAGGAAGGCCTGTATAGACAACACCAACCTGAGGCTGTTGGAGGATGAGGGGCCCATGGGGGAGGCTCTCTGTTCCCCAGGCCTGGCAGGGAGGCTGGTGTGCATGGAGATGCATGTGGTGATTGCAAGTCTGGACGTGAGGGAGCTCAAACCTGACAAGCAGTAGAGGGTGGCATCATTTGGAAGGGAGGGCATCTGTGAGTTGTGCAGGGGGCTTTTGATCTGCAGTATCTTGTCATGGAGGATCTGATACGCTGGGTGGACCTCAGGCCTCCCAGGCCCTCCAGGAAAGTTCCCCAGCATGGCCAGGCAGCAGCCTTTTGGTTTGCCATGTTTGATGTGCTCTGCAGGAAGTGGCTGAGCCCCTCTGGGGAAGCCCTGACCCCTGCTTCTGGTGTCTGGCCCAGGTAACGAAGGCTAGGCCAGCATCTGGGGGTCACCTCCCTTAAAGGCCTCCCTTTGCAAGCCATAGAAACCAAAGAGCACAACAGTGATCAGGACCACACCTCTCAAAATATAGCTGTGGGTGTGACCAGCACAAAGAATTCTGCTTCGGTGTCTGCACATGCTGCTCAGTGGGGTGTGTGGCCCCAAACCCCTGGCTCTGATGACCTCCCATTGGCCCTACGACTGGGGTAGAGGAGGACATGGTAATACTATCATAATACAACCAGAGTGAGTACTAACTGCGAAACTCTATGTACATTACCTCATGACCCCTCCCAACCACCTGCAAGGTGAGTGAACTATTCTCACCTTCCAGATGAGGAAACTGAGGCTCAGGGAGTAAGTAACCCACCCAGGGCAGTAACTGACAGGCCTGGGTCTGAACCCCTGCCTTCCTGGAACTTAGAAATCCATTGCTTCCCTAGTCAGCTCTCCACACCCCTTGTCGTTGGATGTGTGGTGAGAACAGAAAGTGGCCAGGGAAGGGCACAGGGGTCAGGGCACTGGACCTGGACTCACTGTGAAGTCTTGACTCTGTCACCCAGCTGGGTGGCCTCAGATAAGTCCCACCACGGGAAACGAGCCCAGGCCACCCATCCCCGTGTCCACCTACCATGTCCATCCTCAGCCGTCTCCTCTGTATTAGCCACCAGGCTGCCAGGGCAGGGGTGCCATGCACAGTGGGACACCCTGACTGCCGGGTGCCAGCCTGGAAGCTGGGAGGGAGAGGTCAGTGTCTGATGAGTAGAAAGCCTCGGGGCTTGTGTGAACCTTGCCCCACCTCTGACAGCTGGCCAGGTGCCTTCCCGCAAACCTGGGCCCCCCTCCTCTGAGCCTCCACAGCCCTCACCATCGCTCTGTCTCTCTGCTCTGTTCACAGGCCCCTCTGCCGGCTCCAGTTCTGCGAGGTTCAGCCGGCGGCCCACCTGTCCTGACGCCTCTGTTGCCGGCAGCCTCCCCACACCCCCGGTCCCGAGACACAGGAAGAGCCACAGCCTGGGCAACAAGTGGGTGACTGAGCGAGCCCCCGGGCTGTAAACCGATCTGAACGTGGGGCGTGGGCTAAAGGGCTACTGGAGTTTGCCGGCCGGTGCTCTCAGCATCCCAGGCTGGCGCCCTCTCCTCAGGCTGGCACGGGCTCAGGAAGGGTGTGTTGTGCTGTGTTATGGTGACGGGTTTCACTGGCTCAGCTGCCAATGGAGGAAGCATGCAGGGAAGGGCACGGAAACACTAGTGGGATTCCAGAAAGTTTGCCCCAGCTCGGTTAGTGCCTCCCTCGTGGAAAACCCCGGAGTCCAGTGGACACCATGACTGTCATCCAGGGAGCACGAGTGTCTCGTGGTGCCTGCATGTTGGGGCTTAGGGTCTCTGCTGGCTGATTGCTGCAGAAAGCCTGCAGAGCAGCTAACCTGCAGCCAGTTATCCAGCCCTGCAGGGCTGACAGCCAGGGGACACACGTCCTCAGCCTGGCTGGGGGCCGCCATGCCCATGATCCCAGGGTGCTGGGCACAGGATCCTGAACAGTTGGGTCCCTTGCTCCCTCCCTCTGTTCCTTCCTACCTTCCTTCCTTCTTCCCATCTTCCCTCCTTCCTATCTCCCATCCTTCCTTCCACCGCTAAGACTCAAGCCTCCACTGGCCCAGGCTAGCCCTGGAGTCACTCACCGGCTGGAGGAGAAAATACTTGTTCCAAGTGTTCAGGGCTTAACCTGGCTAGATCCTCTGCCTGTCAAACATCATCTCACTGAGCCCTTGCAGGTCTCCAAGATAGGTGCTGCATGTTACATGTTGTAAAAATGAGTCCAGTGAGGGTCAGCAGGTGAAGTACCTTGCAGTGGTGAGTAAGGCTGGAGCAAGGATTTGGAGCAGGTGTGTGGCTCCAGAACCAGACGTGCTGACCTCAGGGTCATGCTGCCCCTTACCTTGTGTGGCCCCATCGCTCACAAGCACCATCTGCTCATGTGAGCCTTCTGGTCATCCTGGGAGACAGACAGGACACATATTGTTAGTCCCCATTTGACAGATGGAGAAACTGAGGCTCGGAAACAGGATGTGACTTGCCCAAGGTCACCCCGGGAGGTAGAGCAGAGCCTGGACTTGGACCATGGTTCTGGGTGGAGGTCTTTCTCGTGCAGCTGCACCGTCTGCTCAGGACCCCAGGGCAGGTGTAACCACTGTTAACTCCTTAGATAAGGAGCTTTGCCTTCTTTCTTCCTTTCCATTTTCCAGTATGATGTGTCAGTTGAGTGTAGTTGAGAGTAAAAGTGCAACATTCCCATCGGAGAAAGCGAGGCACCTGCTGGACGACAGCGTCCTAGAGTCCCGCAGCCCCCGCAGGGGCCTCGCCCTCACCTCCTCCTCTGCTGTCACCAATGGACTCTCCCTCGGTAAGCGTCTCTGGCCTGCACACGACAGCGGGTAGGCCACGCCCGGCGTGTGTCTGTGTCTGTCTCTGTCACTGTGCAGTGTCCAGTGGCCCCTCACCCCCTGCAGAGAGGGCTCCCCGCGGGCGTCGCCAGAGCCAGGGAAGCCTTTGCTTCCTGGCCTCCGGGGCTTCACCAAGTCCCTGGGTTTATCCTCATCCTGCTGGTGGCCCCAGGAGTGGCAGGCAGGTGGAAAGAGCAGGTGCCTGAGACCCGTCGTCACCAGCCAGCAACTGCCAAAGCCCGGCTGCTGTCCCGCGAGGCTCTGTCCCCTGGGCAGCCACAGGCCCCAGCATGCAGGGCAGAGGAGGAAGTGCTGCCGGGGACAGCAGCTGGGTGGCCCCCGGGTACTCACTTGTCACTCGTCTTCAAGCTGAGAAGCCAGAGTGAGGGAGAATGAAAAACTGATCTTCTGGGATGAAATTGCATGTCTGAACTTCAGCCAGAAGTGGCGCTGAAGTCAGTGGACGGACAGGAGCTGATCTGGGATGGGGAGGTGGGGAGTCAGAGCTAAGGACAGCGTGGAACTCCTCCTGCAGGTCCACCCCCTGCAGTGCCCAGGTCCCCTGACCAGGTCACTCGGGTCATTCCTGCCATCAGACAAGTGTACTCTCTGCTGGCCATGTCCTTTCAGTGTGCCTGTGCTTCCGTAGTCTGTGTGTCTGTGTGTCTGTCTGCTTCCCTTAACAGGGAGCACTCCCACGGCTGGTAGCAAGTCAGTTTCCAGGCTGGGGGTTTGATCTGGTGAGGCCTGCAGGCTGGAGGGCCCACGAGCACGGGGAGGAGTGGGTGGTGCGGACAGGAAAGCCGGGCAGGGATCTCATGTCTCACGTCCCCATGAAATGAAGCCAGCTTCTGAGGCAGTATCTCTGCAGGGGGCAGCTGTCTCCCACTCCCTGGAAAGTCTGTGACAAGCAAGACCCATGTCTACTTTCTGACCAGGAGAGAGGTCATCCTGCTTGGACACAGTCAAGGGTTGACACCAGCTGAGGACAGCGTAGCCTGCTGTGCCTTGCAGAAGAGTTCAGGGTCAATGTGTTGGGGAGAGGCTGGTTAAACCAGGCATCCAGATCTCTTCTCAGAGGCTTTAATGTGCTGATGGGCATTAAGGGTCTCCAAGAAGCCCGCAGAGTCTGCAGGTCCCCACATTTTCTGTGCTTGGAACCTTTTCCTTTGAGAGTCCTGCGGGATGGGGTTCTGAGGAACCAGTCTGGGAAATGCCGGCCTGAGAGCATTCAGCTGGGCAGCAGAACCACTGTTTTACATCCAGGAAACTTTCTGAGCTGTGTCTGAGCCCAGGCCTAGCTATTCCTGAGACAGAAAACTGAGTCAGATGCAAGGCTGTCCGGTATCCAGGCGGGAGATCACCAGACGGTTTGGTTCTCGGCTCCTCTCCTTGGGAAACTCTGATATTTTTCTGTTTGGAGCTGAAAGCCTGGGGGCACGTTGCCGTGTGTGCATGTGCCCTGTTTGGAGCTGAACTAGTCTCCTCCGTCCTGTAACTCCCAAGGGGCCTGAGATCTCCTGCTCCTCCTCCTTCCTGTCCCGCTGCCCGGCCATGGTGCCAGCAGGCAGCCCAGGCAAAGAGTGTGGAATGCAGGCACCTCCAAGGACGATCTCTCTGCATCCTTGTGGCTGGAGCTGGGCCTTGGAGAGCCCTGTGAAGCAAGGAGTCCCAGTCAGCCCCAGGGGTGCAGGCCTTGAGGGTGTGGGGGGCGGGGTGAGCCCCTCTGTGTGCAAGCTGGCAGGGATCTGAAGGGGCCCTCCCCCAGCGGCTCTGTCTAGTGCTAGGCTGCTGCTCTGTGACCAGCATCTAGTCAAGGCCTGACCTTGGGAGGAAGGCTCGTTTGGCCCCTGTCCTCACCAGGTGCGGCTTGATCGAGCACTGGTGTCACTTAGGCCAGAAGGAAGGCAGTGGTGGAGCCAGGCCAGGCCAAGCCAGAGGCCTAAGGACCCAGACCCCAGAGGACAGGCGAGCAGGCAGCTGCAGCCTTCAGGGAGCAGAGGAAGGGAGTGGAGGACCCACCTGGGAACAGCGGGACGGGATGGGCACAGTCAGGAACAGCAGCAGCAAAGCAGATGCCCGAGGCACACTGACGCCCATGGGGTCAGGAAGCTGTTTCTCCGGCATGTCTGTGGAGCTCGGGGCCCGGGCCTGGTTACCCAGGAGAACAGGTCGCCCTGGGGTTGGCCCCTCTTCTGTGAGGCCACCGCGCTTATTGATCTGTGTTCCTTTTCCAGGCAGTAGTGAGAGCTCAGAGTTTAGTGAAGAGATGTCTTCAGGGCTGGAAAGGTGAGTGTGGCCTCAGCACGGCCTCCCTCCCAGGGGAGTCGCTCAGGGCCCGAGGGAGCTGGAGACCAGCCCCAACCCATCTCACCCCCAACCCCTGGCCCCGCCTGGTGAGGCTGCCCTGTAGCTCCAGGGGCAGGGCCGGCTAGGAGGGGAGGCAGCAGAGCAGGATGGGTGTGGGGTGGGGGTCCCAGCCCCCTGCTCTGAGCAGCCCCACTCATCATCTGGTTCAGAACTAGCCCAGGAGCCGGAGGCCCACGCCTCTTCCTCAGGCTGAGCCCCTGAGGAGACCTGGGTGCAGATTTGGTCTGAAATGTGGGCTCCTGAAACCAGAAGCTTGAGGACAGGCATGCGGCTCCGCCTGGTGGGGTCTGAGAGCGTTGCACCCCAGCCGCCTCAGTCCTTGGGCCAACACCCGCCCTGCTGGGCACTGGTGAGGGCCAGAGGCACCCCGGCCCAGGGATTCCTCCCTGCGATAAGCCCACCTGGCCTCCCACCCCAAAATTCATCCCCTCGCACCTCCTCCACATGCTGGCCCTTTCTGAGCACCAGGCCCCTGGGGGGCTCTGGGGAGACAGGGACTCTGTGAGCTGGGAGCTCCCACAGCCATGGCGCCGCCGCCAAAGGTGAAGGGCATTGTGGTGACCCAAGTTCTGAGGGGAAGCAGGTTGCACCATCCTTCAGAGCAGCCCCTCCACTAGCGTGCAGGGGCCCTTGTGCACACTCACAGCTATACACACTCTCACATGGACAGACACACACTGTCCCCACGTGTACGTGTTCACTACTCATATACACGTACACTCAGGTATTCTCCCACAATTCGGGTGTACACACACCCATGTACATTCACACATACGCACACCTCATACATACATGTGTGTGCGCGCATGCACACACACACACACACACACACACACACCCCTCTGGTACTGAAGCCTCCCATCTCCTCAGTCCCCACAGTCATAAGTGGCCAGAGAGGAGTCAGTCCTCACAGGGCAGGCGGACATAATATAGTGACAAATCATCTTTGTTGAGCATTCCCCGTGTGCCAGGCCGTCTCAGTCTCACCCAGTCGTCAGGCCCTGCTCCACAGTAGTTACTCATGAAACATCCCCGATTTATACATGTGGACAGCAAGGTGTGGAGAGGGGACATGACCCGCCCTGCTTCACGCTCCCCTGGTGGGCAGAGCTGACCCTCATCACATCCTCCTGACCACCCAGCCTTCCTTGTCACCACCATGCTCAGGCCTCATCCACAGCCTCTGTGACGGCTGTGGGGACTGGCCCCACATCCATCAGCCTGTCTGTCTGTCCTTGTGAAACCCCAGGTGGGGCCCAGAGAAGGGGAGGGACAACGCCCTGAGCCCTCGGAGCTCCTCCCTCTGTCCTGCTCCAGGTGTCCCAGAGGGACGTTGGTCTGCTCTCATTTGGGGGTGCAGGCCGGTGGCCCTGCTGCCCTCCCTCTGCCCACGCCAGCAGTGGGTGAGAGCCAGACAGGCCCCAGGCAGACTCTGGATCTGATGAGCCAAAGTTTGACTTTTCTCAGCGCCGGCCAGGGGAGTCCTGGGGCGACCCTGAGGAAGGCGGCTTATGGGCAGCCTGGTGTCTCCCCAGCCACAGGGAGCACTGAGTGGGAACGCAGGCACGGTGCCAAGATCCTGAATGTCAACCAGACTTGAACCTCCTCATTAGCTCATTCGTTCCTTCATTCATTCATTCACTCATTCATTCAAAGCTGTTAAGCGACTGCTCCCTGCCAGACACCACGCTAGTCACTGAGGGTAGAGGGTAGCAGATACAGTTCCTGTTAAGCACCTGTGACTGAGATTGGAGCTACAGGAAGGAAGATGGTGAGAGAATTCCTGCCTCAGGGAGACGGTGCCACACCCCATTCAGGGGGAACACTGAAGGCTGTAGCGTTTCTCTTCTCTCAGTTAGAATTTGGCATTAGATTTACTGTCTGAATGTCTGTAATAGATGTTTTAGGGGTGGGATCTCTTGCAAGCACTGGCCTCACAGACAGCTCACCTGCGTGGATGCCTGGCCCTGCCTCCAGTAGCCTTCATAGCGGCCCCACAGGGAGAATTCCTGTTTCTCGTTTCCTTGGGACCTCACTCCTGGTCAGCACCTCCTTGCTGAGGGGAGCAGGAGACCACCTGCTTTGGAAGATGCCAGTGGGGCTAGGATGTCCCCTCCAGTCCCTTCTGAGACCCAAGGCGGTCCTGACAATCCTGACGCAGCTGCCCCTTGGCCTCCAGCTCCTGTGGGCCAGCCTCCAGTCTCCATTTCCAGCTCCTCATGTCCACCAGGAAGAATCCACTCCCTCAAAAGCATGTGAGCTTTCTAGACTCTCTGAAGACCCCATGGAGAGGACTTACCTCACGCACTTTGAAATCTTTGTAAAATGTTGCTCTTTTCTCTCACAGTTCAGTGACCACAGTTCATTGCCACCTGGGCCCCCCTCGTTCCTGAGCTTTGCCCACCCACTGTCCAGGCCCACTGGGTCCGGCCTCCCCCGGGTCACATCGCTGCTGCTCATTAAAAAGGAGCAGATTCCCTTTTCCCCAGAAGCCAGCGCCTCACCCTGCCTGGGCCCAGAGGCCAGTGGCTGCCCCCAAATAGCCTCCAAAGTACTTTTTAGCCCAACAGAGCCTCCCCTCTCGGACCCTGCCAGCTGTCCCTGGCAGACGCTGTAAGAACGCAGAGGGTGCATCTTTACCCCTGCCTGGGCAGAAAATGGCCTCGGAACTAGAGCCAAGTGCAGGAAAGGGCTGGGCTCCACCCGCAGGAATGAGGTCCCGGCTTCTCCAGCCCCCAGAGGCCAGACTAGGTTGGGGGGCAGCACTTTGCCCCACAGCCCTGAAGTTTATGGGCCATAACCTTCAACTGACTTTCCTGCCAGCCCTCTGGCCCTGGTGACAGTCTTGGCCTCGGCCAGGAAGAGAAACAGAGCCAGATACCAGCATGCAGGGCAGGGAGGCCCCGAGCCAGTGACCCCCACCCCCGGCACACACCCCTCTGTTAGTCTGAGGGCACACCTTAGCCTTTATGCCACTGGGAACAGGCGGGCAGGAGGGTTCTCACTGTCCAGCCAAGGGTGGGATCATTTGGCCCGGTCTTGCAAGTTTGCCTTCCCCTAGTTCAACCGCATGAACGGACATTTCAGCCCTGCAGCCAAAAGGCATCCTTGGGTGGCATCCAGAGCCCAGGCTGTGCCCAGGGCTTGCCTGAAGTGTCCAGCCCTGAGGAGCACGTTGGAGCCCCCAGAGCCCCAGGGACCCAGCGGGCTGCTCTCTGGGAGTGGGCCAGGCATGGCCACCAAGCCCTGCTCTTGCTGGGACTGTGGAGTGAGGGTTCAGAGGGCAAGGAGGACCTTCCACTGCTGCTCTCATCCTCCTGTCCCCTCATCCATCTCAGCCTCAGCGAGGTCTCAGAACCTGTGGGCTGAGGAGGGACAGGAACAGACTGGAGCCATGAGGCGGCCAGACCCAGGGAGGTGTTGGTCATTTCTCAGCCCCTGGGCTGCCCTCAAGGCCCTCCCCTGTCTTTGGAGCCCAGAGGACAGGTGGTGGTCCTGGGTCAGGGCCCTCAAGAACCAGAGGCCGGAGTCACTGGGGAGGGGGCGAGGGTGGGACTCTCCCTCACGTTCGACCTGCCGTTTTCTCACCTCAGGGTCCTGGGAGGTCTCAGAAAGGGAAAGGGGAGGGGGGGTTAGCCAGGCCTGCCGGTAAGAGGTAACTGCTGCTTCTTTGTGCCTGAGTCGGCACTAAAGTGAGAGCAAGAGTATCAGCCCAGGAGTGAAACATTTTAAATGGGGTTTTTAGAAAGAGCAAAGCGGGTGATAGGGATGAACACGTATGCGTGTACATGTGAAAGCACAGAGTATCATTCATCGTGGTTATCCCTGCCTGTAGAGTTACTGAGTGAGTTTCTTTCTTTAATTTTCTTTTTCTGTATCCTGCACATTTTGTACAATGGGTAAATGGTTCTTTGACACCCAGGAAAAAAAACAACAGTTAACTTTTTAAAAGAGGGTATAATCGGGAATGTTTACCGGTCTGTTTTTAAGAGGTGAAATATGAAAGCATGTCACGAAGTTCTTTACAAGGTACTCAGCCACCCATCTTCTCCAGTCTGGCATTGCCGGGCTGCGTGGAGGAGCCTGCTCACCTGGCTTATGGGCCAAAACATGGGTGGTGGAGAGACCAGGAGGCAGAGGGGTCCTTGGAGGAAGCCCCGGGTGAGAGAGGGGAGGAGAGCAGGATGGGACAGCACATCAGCCCCTCTGTACCCCGGGGCAGGGACGGAGAGGGCTGCAGCCAGGGGCAGGGCATGGCTCACAGCCTGGGTGGGAGACAGACTCAGTCAGCCATGCCAGGTGCCCAGTAGGTGGGAGAAGACGTGTGGCACGCAGAGGGAGAGTCCACCAGGGCGACCCGAGCCAGGCTGCGGGTCCAGGGGTGGCTTCTGATAGGGGCGATGGTTCAGCAGAAGCTGGAGGACATTTGGGGAAGAGGACCACAGTGGGCCCTCCAAGGGGTCCTGGGACCGAGGAGGCTGTGAGACCAGAGTCGTGTTCCAGGAGGGGAGAGGTGGCCCAGGAGTGCTGGGTATCCCCGAGTCTCTGCAGGAGATGGGGCTCCATGATGTGCCCTGATCTCTGAAGTTCTTAGAGTGCCTCTGCAGTGAGGGACTGTGGTGGCTTCCGGACACTATCAGCTGCGCTGGAAGGGGCCTGAGGTCAAGGCTGCTTACTTTCTCAGTGACCTTGGGCATGTCTCTCAACCTCCCTGAGCCTCAGGTTCCCAACCCTACAGTGAGAATACTGGTAGGAAATAGTTGGCACACAGGTGGAGTTGCTACATTCGGGGAACTTACTCTGGGATTTGTATGAGTCTCACTCAGTAAGAACCTCTTGCTGTCAAGCAAGTGATCCAGGAGTCTAAGGCTGGGTGGAGAGAAGAGAAAATTCCCTAAATGGCAGTTCACTCATCATGG